TCAGGATCAGAACGCAGGTGTGATTTCAGGTTCTTGTCTCCAAAAGCACGAGAAACAGCCAGTTGACCATTCACTCTAGCAACATCTCCTGAGATAATATGCATTTTAATGAGCATGTCTCCAACATACGGTAATGGTAAGACACACTCCACGTCTACATCACATCTGCATAATCTAGCACCCCAAGGACAGGTATGTAACTTCTAAATCTAGATAATAGGTTTTTTGGAATGAAAATAGTTCACTGTTTCTGGAAGTAAAATTTGCAACAAGACCCTCAACTTCTTGCATGGAAAAAGATTTTTCTATATAAATTTTTCCCCACCAAATATAAAATTCTTGCCGAGATAAATGAAGGTTAATTTCATGGTAAGGTACTAATAGTCAACAACACATTCAGACACCTTATATATTAAATGTCGAATTGCCGGTCAACAACTATCTAAAAATGGTGTGTATAATTAGCTTAATGTATGGTAGACCACAGTAGCAATGGAGGTAAAACTATATATCAAGAAGAAGCACATCTTTGCAGCATGCTGTTAGTAAGACTGACAACTCTTATTAAATGAAAAATGACATGAAAACATGTGCTTGTGAGGATTTGACGCATAAAATTAAATTTACCTTGGTTAAACTCATCAATCATTTCTATAATTAACACAACTGTTTTCCAAATTCCCCAATAAACTAGTACTTCCTACTGCTGAGGACTGCTTCAAGATACCACAAGTGGAGTCCTTGCCAACAGGATATCTTGACCTAACTAGAGATATCATTAATGGGCTCGTAACTGTAGTATCAGTTGTAAGCCAACCAAGCTGGTTATAAACAAACCTCCAACTTGTTCATGCCCAAAATCAATCTCATCGTTAATGGAAAAGATGGTCGCAACACATGGATCCTAGCTTTTCAAACAGAAATGTTGAACTCTTCTCTGTTAAGCTTTTCCGGTGTTTGTGATCATAAAAAGCTTTACTTACAACAATAATACTACTATGCCTCAATCTCAAGCAAGTTGGGGTAGGCTATATGAATCCTCATTGACTATGTTGCTCCATTTAAACTCATCTCAAACTAATAGTATACAAGACAAAAAGTAATAGAAGTTCTCTATATTTTCTACTAACATATAAATCTCTGACATGACTAAAAGACTTCTAAAAGATATAGGATCTAAGTAAATGACTAAAGCACCATCCCAACTAAAAAGCTTTACAAGTTCTACAAAGTTAAAAAAAAAATATTTTCCATAAGATACAATTACACAAAATAAATACAACAATGAAGACACGTTGGACTCCTCGTTGCCCCCAAGAGACATGGGACAAATCTATCGCATAATTTAGCCAGGTGAGAGAAGTTAAAGTAATTCTCACAAGATTTAATTAGAATCAGAGCACATAATATCCCTAACAAAGGGTCTTGTCAACAGACAATATTAAGAATGATTGAAGAGGGGACATACAGGCCTGTGATGTTAGATGAGACGAGATGGGAAAATGATGGAATGAACCAAATATAGGACTTGAAGAAACTATTCATGTCTTCCATTCACAATTCGGTTACAAAACGAACTAAAAAGAGAAGTACTACATTAATAGTAATAAGTCATTAAATGTGGGATAAGCACCTGGCATTTTTGTGACAAAGCCACCTTTGTTTTCGATGCTGCTCCGCTCAGTGTGTGGTTCATGATCAACACTCATCTGCATCGCCTGCCCCCTCCTCGAAAGCACTGCTCTGGAATCACCAACATTTGCTATCCATAGCTTTCGTCCATTTATAAGTATTGCAGTCACTGCAGTTGACCCTCCTTGTCCAAGATCAGGATTATGTGAAAGAATAGCCTCATCTGTTCTCTCATAAGCTTTTAAGATTGAGCTATGAGGGTCGGTCCAAAATTCCTCCTGGAAAATTCAAAAATATGTGGTAAGAGTAACTAAAAGCAACAAATAAAGGTTCGATGGAAGAAACAGAAAACACGAGCATCTGTCATAAGCAGTTAAATATGCTGAGAAAGCTTTTCTGAATCCACAAATCACCTCATTTATGATATTGGAAAACAAATGCTTCTGTAAATAGGAAGCCACATTATCTCCAGAATGCCCATCATAAATAGCAAAAAGTCCAAGTTCCCCTCCGCGCAACTGAGTGAATTTAGCAACATGATAATCCTCCATCGGATGATTTGCTTTCCCCTTAAGGAGGCTGAACCCATACTTTGCAGGCCCGTGATGGCTTCTTCCTTTGCCACATGATGACCGTCCTCCTGCAAGCTAAAGGCAAAAGGAAACTTCAATCTCCTATTGATATGAAGTCAACAATTGTAGAAATCGTGCATTCAAATTCCTAGAAAGAACCGACAGAATCTTATACTATAAAATACGCCAGTATAGAAACATCAGCAGTAATCCCTACAAGGGAGGGGAGGTAATAGCAAAAAATATTCACCATCTTGACTAAAAATGATTTCCTCCCCTCTACCAAAATTGACCTTTTGATGTTAAAATTGCTGACTTTTTGATTGAAACTAATTTCAGTTAACTCAATATTTGAAAAATAATTTGAACTAAAGATTATATTAATAATTTTAGTTATAATGGTTATTTTATTAATTGTTTATTAAACAATGTTAACCAGCATGATCAAAATCATATAATTTACCTCAAAAAATCAAATGGTGTCCAACAAATTTAGAAAATCCAGCCGCTTACAATTCAAATGTTTAAAGGAAGTATATGTCAAAAGTTGGGCGAACCTATAACATCCCTTTGATATTTGAATCATTTTTAAGCCGAATCCCCACACCTGTATTCGTAATCGAATCTTAAAATTTAGATCACGAAGGATCCAACCTCTAGATCCGCACCCGTGTCGGACACACGCACCCGAGTCCAAGCAACATAGTTGAATAAAACTATAGAAACCAAAGGAAAGCAGTGGCTTTCTCCGAGTATGTGACATAATCATCACTTCTACTGTCCCCCCATCCTAGGAATACACATATATAACCTTTGACAAATCTTCTTATTCGTCAACGACAACATTCAACCCACATAATTCAGCTAAAACCATAAAACAATATCATAGAAATGCACAAGCCCCAAAATTTAGTACTAAAACTATTATTATTTTGCACATAAAGAGAAGTCAATCTAAAAAAAACTACAGGATCATCAGCCTAACCTGAAATATAGCTGAAAAGTAAGCATGAAAGTCAATAGGAGAAAAGATAAGTATATAAAAAACAAAAGGTAAAAGAAGCTGCTTTTAAAGCCTGACCTGAGAGTTTCCAGAATTGAAGCAGCATAAACTATCCATATAAAAGTTATCCCTCTTCAGAGGCCTCCTATAGTAATAAACATCTACTTTTAAATTCTTGAAATTGACAACCTACAGCATCAGAGACAGAATCTTGATCATCAAAGAGGCAAACCCAATAATCAAAACATACCAAAGAATCAGTCTTTTTTCAAAGAATCATAAAAAAATTAGGAGAAACTTCGACTTATGGTACTTACCAAGAGCCCAAGGATTATGATAATAAATGTTGGTATGCCTACCAGTTGACTTTTGCGTTGACCAACTTTTATGATTATACAGAGAAAGAAATGAATTGTTGTGGGGATTTATGGAGTTTGTAAGGTTGTGTTTTTATGTCTGGATTGGATTCCCCGTGCAGGCAAGAATGGCTGACGACAGGCTTTGTGTTTGGGTTTGGGTTTGGGTTTGGCTTTCCCAAATTTGACTTTGTCTTGTGGATTATGTTTCTTTATTAATGTTTGTCCTATATACTTTTTTTTGGTCGTACATCATTGTTTCTCTAATTCACATAGGTATAATCAATTTCTTTTTAAATTTCAGAACCAAAAAACCCGACTAATCCCTAGCATCCTTTTCTTTTTTATAATTAAAAATTTTATTTACCTTGAAAAAATATTTACATGAAAAAAAAAAAACCCTTACAATTGGACATACCCTAACTGTACCTTCTAGTCTCCTACCTCTCCCACCACCCCTTTACAGAATATAAGCAAATGCGCTTTATTAAAAAAAATTTACCTATGGTCAATAATGAAACAATCTCATCCAACCCTACATCCACTATAAAAGTTTGGTGATTAGTGACTGTTTAAAAAGAGTTTAGTGATAATTAAAATCGCTATAAAAAAGGTAATTTGACAATTAGAATCGTTGAGAGATCATTTGGGAGAGATTATTTGGGCGAGGATTCCAACTGATCGCCGGATTAACCACCGCAAGCAATTTATACATCGAAGTCGCGGCAATTACCAACTGCTGCTAAAATATATTACATTTGTTTACAGCGAACATAGCTTATAGTATTAAAGTAGAGATTCAGTTAAATATACAAAGCAACTTAGAGGCCTCGAATGTGTCAAACCATGAGACAGCATTCACACAAATATACAGCGCTCTTCTAACAATCTCAGCTTCACTCAACATAGAAGAATTAAAGACAATCATTTCAACTAACCCCTCCAGCCACGAGCTTTTAAAGAGTTATTACAAGGCACCCATTGATCATGCCAACGCCGCAATATATTCAGTTTTTTCTATTATTTTGCTTGTATTTGTTTCAAACCGCTGAAAAAATCTAATTATTACTATTTCTTAATTATTTTTAATATTTTATAATTACGACTAGTTTATACCTGATTGAAATAGCATATATAATTTTTTTTAATCCATCAACACATTCACAAACATTAATAATAATTAATAACAAAGTCAGATCAATTTGCTTTAGGTTCGTTTTGTTTGACTATCGCTTTTACTTTTGTTTCCTTCCCCCATAACCTTTTTATTTTTCATATATTGCTTTTGGTTACCGATGATTATTGTGCTTACCTGAGCCAGGGTCTTTCCGAAACAGCCTCTCTATCTGTACAAGGTAGGGGTAAGGTCTGCCTACATACTACCCTCCCCGGACCCCACTTGTGAGAATATACTAGGTATATTGTTGTTGTTGAAAGTCAGATCAATCAATACTCTAAATTTTAAAATGTAAATCTTGTTCAAACATAAATTCATTATCGAATATCATTACAGAAAGTGTAATTCTAATCCTGCCAGAAAGTACTAAGGTATCAATTCACTTGTTCCTGAACAGAGAACTAGGCCGCAGCTGAAGTGCCTCGACCTTGTGGTTCGTGACTAGCAGATGATGAATGTTGTATTTCTACTGGTGACCTTAAGTCAGCAACCTGAAATTAAACAATAATAAAGCTAGTAAATTCACAGCAAGAACTAATCATGATTAGCAACACATTGTACCTTAATCTTAGGCAAGTTAGACCCTACAAAAAGATGATGGGAAGGAATTGGATTTTTGTTCAAAAAAATCTGTCACTGTGACATGCCAAATTTGCTCTGCAGAGAAATTAAGCAGAGAAGGTGTCTAGCAAATTAAACCATGTACGGTACAGTGTTTTAAGACTAGTGATTTAACTTTACACAAAGCAATGATGGAGACCAATGGTTATAAATATATGCGCTTACCAAATGAAGAAAGATGAGCACATATACTATCCAATTAGCTAATATAATGAATCATTTGGCATACCCTGCTCCGCACTCAAGCGACATTCTCCTCAAGAGAGTCCTCTATGCACAAGCAAAGCAAGATGCAAAACTATGAAGGCGGCGTTCAAAAGAATTGATGTATAGAATAACTAAATATTCACGTAGAATAATGTCATTCCCATCATCCTGAATAACTTTCATAATAGTTTAGCAAGTATGTTTTGACTTTTGTAAAAAGAAAACCTTGCGTAAACCGAGATTGCATAACCTGCCAGAAGAAACGGGAAAGAACAAACCATGAAAGGGAGACAATCAAATAAAATTGGGCTACCCGCAAACCTGGAAGCTTTCCCCTTTGTTCATTCGAGTTACATTTACAAGAGGCACTGATAATATTTCAGGCAGCTAGCCTCGATCAGTTTACACAAAGGAACTTTAATAGATCAAATGAAGTCTCTATTAACGTAAACACTGTGCGCTTTGGTGCCTAGACCTTTTCTCCCAGAGGCGGATCTAGGATTTTCGGAGGATGGGTGCACCGTAACTTTTTTTTTTTAAAATTAAACAAAAAGGTTTGTAGGGGATTTGATCCCGACCTTAGGCTATTGGAAATAAGAGACCAAAACCAGTGCACTACTTTGTCTCTTTTGACCATGGGTTCCAATATATAT